TTTTTGTTACATTGCGCAGACCTCATTAGTTTTACAATCAAATCTGTTCATGTTAATTTTCTGATTTGCATAATTAGTTTTCAGCTAAGTAATTTCAAATTATATTTAATGTGTTTCCAATAATCTCAGCACATGGGAGTTCTTTCTAAACTTTCTTTGATTCTGTTTCGCGTTGAGCTATCAATTCTTTACTCTGCCACATAGATATTAGGACGTGTACCTCTTCATCAAGCCAGAAATTACAAACGATGTTGTCTCCTCGTTATAAAATGAAATGAGAGCTATATGAAGAAGACAATAGATAGCATGCATATAGGCCCAACCCTATTGGAGTTCAACTCCAAGGGTTTATTGGAGCCGAACTTGGCTCGAGCCGAATGCGTATACACAGCCATTTTTGCGAGCTTGAGCCGTAGGTCTCCGATAAAATGCTGTCGTGTATATGTGGCAATAGGCCGCAATTCAGTAGGGATATACAAATACAGTCTTTTTCTTTGTTGTAAAGTCGCTTGGGATTCAAATGTGATTTTGAATGTTTAACATGTGAGATTATTTCTGAATATTCCATGATAAAAGCTTGGAGTTTACATTGAACAGGACATTTTGTTTGTGGCTTGATGCAAGAAAATGACAATTTCTTTATTCATTGATTTTTAAAGGGAAGCAAGTCTATTCCACAAAATATAAGCAGTTAAACTACATGTATCACATTTGATGCAGGATGTTTTTAAAATTGGGTTACATAACCTACTGAGAAAATTGTAATATGGCGGTTGTTAAATTGTTGCGTGAACGCTTATGTAATAGAAATGTACATCTCCTAGAACTTTATTTTTGTAATAGATATTTTCTTTTTTAATTGTTTCTCATTATTATGTATTGTTTATTTCTGTCTGTGAAATGTATTTTATGTTATGTATAGATGATACTTGTAGAATAATAAAGTTATTATTGCATGTATTATTCTATTCCCGTAGCATGCTGTTGCCAGTCCCTGTAGTGCCTTCGCCTAAGTATGTGTTTATATTATATAATGTTATAGGATATAGATTGGACATCACAATTAAAATACAGTGTTCACAATGAACACTATAGAATTTAACATAAAAATATGTACAGTTATGGGCGTCTTCAGTATTTGTAGCACATTTGAATACTTTCCAATGTTTACATCAGTTACTTGTACTGTAACAGTGTAGCATAAGAGCCGAAACCATATGTCACTCAATGTTAACAATTGCATAAAATTTGTTGTTGTTGAAACATTGGCCCGTTATCAATCAGTACGGTAATTATTATGCCTCCTGGTAAATTATAAAAATAAGTCAGAAAGTCAATATGGGATCATATGACCGCCATACAGCGTCACTCGATACAAATACGAAAATACCTTTGTTCAGACTTTACAGCATTCTCATTATAAAAGTTTTATTTGTGAATAGCTCCTTTGCCCTGTGACAGAGTGAAAAATATTAGCCTATACAGAAAATGTGCGAGTATGATTAAGAAATATCAAGTACGAAGTCTGACCTGTTTTTAAGACCAGGTAACAAAGACTGTGTGAACGAATACATGTAGCTCAGACTGAGCGCCCTCTGGGAATACTGATGGCAACAAAACACCATATGTATTCGTAGTCCAATTGAAAGATTTACTATTACCTATATATTCATGACTAATCATTTATTTTATGTTATTTCTAACAAGCAATGAAAGTGCATTCAGAGACTTTGTTTGAAAAAAAATGAACTGAGGTACAATGAGTACTTTCCCATTTCCCATGCATCTAGTTAATATTCAAACATGTGGGATTAATTTTATTCTAAGCCAATACTATATAGCAATAAATCTTAATACCACGTTAAAACCATGTCACTGGATTATTTTTAAATTGTTCCTAGGACGAAATTGAAGCAAAATATTTTGACCAACGAGTGAATAATTTCATAACATTGACTGATATTTTTTCCCACCTTATTTTAATAGTGGTGAAGAGAGATGTCCTGTCTGTGTAAATGTTCCTCTCATAATAAAACACAGCCCTCTATGACAAGCAGGCCAACACACTAAAAGTGCAGGCACATTTGTGTCATAACAATACAGAAATACAACCAGAAGCTCATCAGACACAATGGATATGGACAATGAGGTAGGTTGAAATTGCTTAATAATTTCTTATGCAACACTTCCACATTTGGCATTCTGTCACTGAACTGTAGGAATACATGTATGTACAGTACGGTCCGAGTGTAACTTACCATTTAGCTAGCTTCAAGCCAGAATAAAGTAAGTTACACTCGGACTGTACTTTGCTTGCTTTCAAAACTGCCACATACTGTAAAATACTTTATTTTCGCTTGGAATTAATTTTCGCTGAAGGAATGATTTAGTGAAAATGAAATCCAGCGAATATACACAATGTACCTTTTTTTCCTATATTTTACATTCAACTTGTCAAAAATCAGTGAAAATAAATTCCATACAAAACATCCAAAAATTCTTTTCAGTGAAAATTAATTCCAGCTAAAATAAAGTATTTTACAGTATCTAAATTGTTCAGAGCAATCTGTCTAAATATGCCTTATATTAGCATAGGTAAATACTACTACACGTAATAATTTGAAATTATTGATGACAATAATATTTTCTTTGAAAATTGTAAGTTTTTGTGAAAGAGTAAATCCAGATGAGCTTGACAGCCAGCTTGGAAGTAAAGTTACCCCCAGACTGTACTGTGTATTAACTCCTGGAATTTTTCTAAGTTTAGATGTCAGTAGGCACTCATAATCCCTACCAGGATAGCATATGGCTCAAATTGCTACAAAAATATAGCGGTGCTTAATGAATTTCCGTTGACATAAAAGTAAAACAAGCAATCATGCGAAGAATGATGTACTATGTAGAGCTGAATTTTTTGCAGGGTTTTATTTTGCTTGCTTCAAATTTAACAATTTTTTTTCATTCATATAGCAGTGAATTTAAAACATAGGGAATATCCCTGTAACAACAATTCGGCTGAAATTTAACCCTGTGAATATTTCTCTTTCTACAGTTATAATGCCAGAGCATAGACTTTCTAAGGTTTATGGTCAGGGGTATATCTTAAATCTTGTTGCCGTGCCAACAGTGAGGACTTTCAGAATGCATTGTACTTCAAAATTCTTATTCTCTCAGAAAATGTACCTGCTACAGCGATTCTGCTGAAAAATCATGTTTCACCAGTATAGTAGTTTTTAAGAGCTAATGCTGCGACCTCATGAGATATGTAAACACTATACACATATAATGTCCCATAAAAAGCAATGCATTCTGGGTGATATTAATAATTAATTATTGGACACACAAGTATGAGAATTTATGAGAGTATAATCTATGTCGTGTTTGTTAACTAAACTCAAACAAAGATTTTTATCACATTGTGACCAGTGCGACTTTGCTAAGTGTTACAAATGTAATTTGTTGATAAAGGGAAATATTAAAAAAAAAAAGGATATATATTTAATAGAGTGAAGCAAAAAAAATGTACAGCATTGTCATCATAAAAAAAAATGTTGTTCAAAACTAAGTGAGGAAAAACAAGAGTTTGCACAAATGTTGTATCATCTTCTCCACGGACCTTATAATTGTCAACTTATTATAATAACAACCACACACACATCCTTCCATGTACAAGTCTATATTCTGTAATTACGTAGAATAGTTTTTTAATACTGGGTGAATGTTATTTGAATGCTTAAATCAAATGCCTTTGAACTCTGTCAACTTTCACCCCCTTTTGTATTTTCTGTCATTGTTGACATTGTTTGTATACTAATACTCAACAGAGAAAGGGTGCTTATTACATCCATAACATAGGTATTGACAACCTGTTCATGCAAATTATGAGAAAATAAAAGATATGGGCTAAGATTATTATTTTGTAGTCTTCTGAACTTTTGTTAATTGTATTTACCAATGTTTGGTTAAGTTCACACTTGTTGATTTATAGCAAACATCTTTAGCAAACAAATTTTTGAGAGCCATTGCGATAGTTTTAGTCATCTCTGCACACTAGCAACTCTCTGAAATGGAGTCACTTGTTAGCAGTTCACTAGAAAATGGTTGTACTTTAAAAGAAGGTGAAATTGAGTCAAAGGCAAGTACTGTAAAATGATTAATTATTCACTGGGTTTTAATCCCGCTTATTTCGCTGACTGGAAAATGCGCTAAATTAAAACCCAGTGAATATGTAAAATTTAGTATAGAACACATTATCTAAATGATAAAACCGTGAATTTAAAACCCACTGAATATGCCTGAAATGGTAAATCAGCGAAATTTAAACCCGGTGAAAATTAACCATTTTACAGTAATTGACATGCATCTGTAATTTCCATACTATGGAAGTCTATATTGCATAGTGGTGATTACCTACACCATGTTTGATTTTGTGTGAGTCCCAATTACATACTTTAAAAGTGTGAGAAGAGATCAAGAAACAGACACTTTTTGCACTTTGACATGAATCTGTTATTCTCGCCATCATCAGTATTTCCGTAGCGAGAATTTGGATTCCCACAAATAAAGCGTAGTCTCTATTACCAGACGCGTCCATCTTACAAGGTCATCATAGGGTTCAAACTGCGTTATTATTTCATTAAATATGGTTGCGTCTGTTTTAACAAACATCCTCTCATGTGAACATGTGGTATTAGCACCAGATTGGATTATTTAACTTAAGTTACACCTCTAAAACGAACTTGTATCAACTTCATGTTAAACTGAGCGTAGCTTTCATTACATTACCAGCATTCCATGGTTTGTCCCCACGCTTACTTTTAAAAGTGAGCGCACTCAAGCTTTCCATTGTTTGGCTCCACGCTTACTTTTGAAAGTGAGCGTACGCTCAACTCGTATCTTTGTGAAAACTGAGTCGCTCAGGTACCGCGCTCAACTACCACCTAGAGACTCATTTACATACCTCAATAAAGTGGTAAAGATTTGAATTCTCACCATTAAATGACATGAATGCTGTTAGACCACTTATTGAGAATTAAGTTTGCAAGGAATATTCTCACCACAACATGGCAAGCATAACAAAAACCTAAAAAGTACAATAGTATCAGTTTGTATACCAGTAGTGTAAATGTAGTCACTTTTACCTTGTAACCAAAGGACTCCAGTGATCTGTTCAATGGTTTTAGTTCACTCACTCAAAAAACACATTGAATAGCACAATTATACCAGTCATCATACTTGGTGTGCGTAAGCATTGATTGTTTTTTTTGTTTTCAATCATCAGAAGAAACCCCTTCTACAGATAACTCCGGATAAACTTCCAGAGATTGACCAAGACCAGCTACTCAAAATATGTCCAAAGTGTGCCTACGGTATCGGAGGAATTCCTTATCCCTTGACTGCAAACGTTGTAGCATTTTATATCTCTGTTTTTCTTCTGGAAGTTGCACAGGTAAGTGGAAGTGTCATCATGTTTATTTCGATAAAATATTTGTCATAATGTGTCGATACATTATGGGCATTGCAATAGTTACGCATGTAATGTACATTGTTTGGTAGCCCTGGATCTATGTCATTGTCAGCGTCGGTTTTATTTACATTTAGTCATTGGCTACTCACTCAAACACTGCTATTATGACTTGGACACTGTCGTATCCGATGGTCAACGGATGGTTATAGATTTAACCAAATAAACCAGCCATTTGTTAACATACATGTACTTCTGGGTCAACCCATGACCTCACCACTGAGGGCGCTTTACAGACTATACCTCTCAATACAATACAGTGTATTCCAATACATGATATGACACATACAAGACAGAAAGCATGCAATGTACATGCATATAACAGTGACACTTACAGCCAGTGTGCACTCTAACAAGATTGATTTTGTAGGGATTCTGAGTAATAAAGTTATCCCTCAAAATCAGCTTGTTGAGTCAGCTTGTTAACTGCTGGGAAAGTTGGTCCTCTTGAAAAATATAAATTTGCCTGTGTATACGTGACTTGAGACACACAAAAAAATGATGTGGTTTCTGATTCTCTTTATTTTTACTTTTATGCCCATCTTTATCAAAAATTATGTGTAAGCTTTTACCTTAAAATTACAATTTAACTCATTAACTTCATTCATTTTGGCTTTCCATGAAGGCTGTGTCAACCAGGCCCAGTCAAAAACAAACATCATATCGAATGTTCCCCCCAAAGACGCATCTATAAGTCAGTGGGTCATTCATCAAGGATAGAGGTTGAGGTAGAATTTAAATTTGAGACCGATAGATCAATGGTGTTGTACAACAATATATAAACAACAGTGAATATTAGCATTCTAAAACTGCATTGTGTTTTAAATATTTTAATTCTGTCTTTGATATTCTCAGATCCGTCCAGCCTATGCAAGTATCGTGCTATTCTCGGGAAAAGCTTGGGATGCAATTACAGATCCAACTATCGGAATATTACTTGACAAAAGCAATACTCGATTTGGTAAAATTAAACCATGGTATGTTTCACCTTCTTTATTTGTTGTTGGCTTGAAACTATGAATACTAATGATCTCATTTGCAGATATGAAAATGCATACTGTAAAATACTTTATTTTAGCTGGAATTAATTTTCACTGAAAAGGCTTTTTGAGTGTTTTGTATGAAATTTATTTTCACTGATTTTTGATGAGTTGAATGTGAAATATAGGAAAAAAAAGTATATTCACTGGATTTTATTTTCACTGAAGCATCCCTTCAGCGAAAATAAATTCCACGCAAAAATAAAGTATTCTACAGTAGTTGTATAATGATTAGTATATTCAGCTGTTATTGTTGTGAGAACAGCTGTAGGAAGCAAATTTTGGTATGGAGGTTCAGAGTGTGGGAACCCAACACAAATATACTGTAAAACCATTTATTTTTACTGGCATTTAATTTCACTATTTTTAGTAATTTCTTTAAATTTTAAGTTTATGAACAACAGCGGGAAAATGAGTTCTATTGTTATTTTACATGTTCACATGGATTTAGCAGAGTATACTTATCAGCGAAAAATAAAACCCAGTGAATAATTAATGCATTTACAGTATTATAAATATAAAATCCATATACATGTATGTTTTTCATCAAGGTTGGTGCTATCTACGCCGTTTGCCATGGTTACTTATGTAATGCTTTGGTATGTTCCGGATATCGATGCAAATATCAAAATGGTTTATTATCTGTTATGTTATTGTGCCTTTCAGACATTCTTAACTGTAAGTAATAAATCATGTACTTATATTATTTTAGCTGATTTGTGCGCTGTTTATAATTCTACAGGGCTAAAACTTTTTCATAAAATCCTAAAATACAACAGTGTAAATCTATAATTTAAAAAAAAAACGCATATCGTAAATAGTCAGCTGATGAAATATCAATTTATTGATTAATATATTTCCTCGGATCTAGAATTTATTTATAAATGTATAGCTACGATATTCCAAGATAATTTTACTTTGCCAATAGCCAAGCATCACTAAGCGGTACTGTGGATTCGGTTGTGATTGAGTTTTTAACATTATCAGGTGTTACCTATTACAGTCACCAAATCACTTACAAAATTCTCTGCTTGATGATCAAAAATAGACTATATTGTATATAATACAGGATGAATATTTGATGCGAAACATTTCCTGTTAAGATTCTGAGATGCATTCAAATTTGTCTTATTTCCTGTTTACCATTAGTAAATGCCCTTTCGAATGCATACATGTAACAGAACTATTTTTAATACTTGTGTTATCACAAACTTGAAACATTGAAAACTGTCTACTTCCTAGGTTAGTTGTACTGTACTGTAGTTGTACCTGAAGCAGAATTCAAACAAAAATGCATGACTGAATTTATTGTAGTAAAGTAACTTAGTTGATAAACAATGCAATACGCCAGTGTTAAATTTGTATAATGCACAACATAACAACTTTAATACTTTCTAATTTTGATTTCTGGCCAAATTACTCAAAATTTAAAAAGCTTTCAACTAACTTTTGCTGATGATACAACTCGAACCAAAGCTATTCTGGTCACCCAAATTTGATTTTGCGTAGATTAGTGAGAATTCCGATTGTTTAAAAAAAAA